GATGACAACCATTACATTATTCCAGCAAACATGGGCTGGAAAATTTCCCCGCCAAGCACAACCCATTTTGTTCTTCTGAAGTAAACAATAAAAGTATCTGTCCCAATCTAGAAGAAGAAACACTTTAGCTTGTGGAATGGTCTCTACTGTCGAGTAGTCGGAGGTAAGACACATTTCTTCATATTCTGGTAGTGGCTCGCCGTGTCCTTCAGCACCAGGGAACAACACCTATTTTCCTGGTCTGGGAGAAGTGATGTATTGGTTAAGTGTGGAGGACGGTGTGCTTTCATATAACTAGAAGGCCGTTGTCCTCCTCAGCTGGAGTAGAGGAACCGGTGATCAACACACCAGGCTAGGCATCTTGATACAGTACTGGGCCCCAGTAACTGTCCAGTTGTCATGTGTTGGATGGTGGTCTGGTCATCTGCTGCCTCTACTGCATTACATGATCAAAGTAACGTTGACAGTCAGATAATAACACAGAAATAAGGTGTTCAAGGGTGCTCATGCATTAGGTGATTCGATAATAATTATCATAAGGTGATCCGATGATGATCTAATATAAACTACAGGTAGATCCTTAGAATTTTTTCTCTCTGATCAAAAGTTGTGTTAAATTTAAATCTTATCGTCCTGCATAAGGTTCAGTGGTAACCGGATGCTGCTCATTGTCGTGTGATAATGATACTCTGTTGACCTGGCATTGCTCATCAGCTGACTGCAGACTTATTGTTGTGTGAGGGGCGAGCGTGGTGGATGATGACGGCAGCGGCATTAAGTTTACAAAATATCAATTAACCAAACCTGCCAGAGCCTAAATTGACTCGGTGTTGGGATTCGAAGAAAAGATCTAATGGAACTTTCCTCCATCATGTTGGTGGTGGGAGTTTGTCCGTGACCGGCGGCCACACCCACTTGCCGCCCCTCAACACTTCAGTAATGGATCATAAACTTGACAAAATTTCTCACGAGGAAACAATGGATTTTAGGATATTGACCCAACTATGACATGCTGTCGTATAATTGTTTCAATGTTACCATGTATTTCACTTTTTTTATTCATCTCGAGATTAGAATTACTCTTGATGCACAGTTGAGTCTCATTATTTATGTTGTTTAAACTTTTTTCTTCATATACATAAACCTGTATGATATTGTTTCTATATGTTGTATTAATTCTGTATGTGCAGTTAGCACTTCAGTTGTTGAAGTGTTCTTAATGTTAGTTTGGTTGATTGCCGCTATGGTGATGGTGGCGCTAGCACCGTCAGCACTTCAGCGTCCTCTACAGGGAAGGGGCTGGTGTACTTCACCTGTATCATCTGTTAAAGCATGCTTGAGTGTGTAATTGTATGTAAACCTGCAAGACACCGAAAACCTTTGGGATTCATTCACAGTGTCTCCATGAATATTTGTATTTCAACGTCAGAACGATAAGCCTATCACATATATGACTCTTCATTTATTTATCCAGTAGAGTATAGACAATACTCCATTGTGTTCTATAGCTATCAGAGTTGTTCAAAATATAATTTCGCTGAAGTTTGTTTAACATATACAGAAAATGTTCTGTGAGGTAACGCCTGTAAGGTTGTGTGAAGGAGGCCTTGTGGGAGGGGAAGTGAACCACATCCAGCGAGGCACTATGTCCTAGTCAGTGTGTGAGGGTGAGGCCAAGCTAGGCTGTGAGGCGGTCCTTGTGTGTGTGTGTGTGTGTGTGTGTGTGTGTGTGAGTGAGTGAGTGTATGTGTGTGTGTGTGTGTGTGTGTGTGTGTGTGAGAGAGTGTGTGTATGTGTGTATGTGAGAGTGTGTATGAGTGTGTTGCCACCCTCGTACACCTTCATTCCTTCCTCCAATTTCATTATTGATCCTCTACAAGAAAAGACAAGAACTCGTAATTTAAGACGAATTTAATTTAATCATACTCGTCGAGGGACTGTCTAGTGACTCACACTGAGTACATTCTGTGTCACGGTGATGATGAAGCTTTTTGTAGGGAGTTTCAGCCCAGGTAATTCTTAACCCAACTTCGTAATCTACCCCAGCTTACTTTGCCTGAACTTAATTTGACGTAATCTACCCCAGCTTACTCTCACTTAATTTGACGTAATCTACCCCAGCTTACTCTCGCTTAATTTTACGTAATCTACCCCAGCTTACTCTCACTTAACTTAATTTGACGTAATCTACCCCAGCTTACTCTACCTTAACTTAATTTGACGTAATCTTCCCCAGCTTACTCTCACTGAACCTAATTTGACGTAATCTACCCCAGCTTACCCTGACCTAACAACTTTCCATAACCTAATGTAACAATTTACTCAAACTAAACGTAACAATCTAACCTAGAAACTTACCCTAGTCGAACTTACCAGAATCTAACATAACTAACCTAACCTAACCTATCCTATCCTAACCCAGCCAGGATAAAACACTCAGGGCCGAAGCGTCCACTACAGAGCTGCGCTACCATCAAGAGTGTGCGGAAGCGTCATCATCACTGGTTGGCATCTTCATATTACAACACATTAACCAAAAGTACTAGTGTAAAAATCTCTATTTATCTGCCATCTTGGTGGTAGTCAAATGATGATGTATACTAATATGCTACGGGCTCTGTGACTTTGTATTCTACGCTCCTTGGTGGTAAGGTTTACAATTCCTCGAAGCATCTGAATAATTCTTGTTTTGCGAGTGATATGTACCTCACTTTCCGCCTGCCTGTGGCACAGCTTTACAAGAGAAATTATGAGCCTTGCCATCTGTTGACTACCAGCTCAATTTCGCCTGCCCGTGGCACAGCTTGGCTAATGGCAATTGTTAGGTATGTAGAGGGCGTAGTATGGCAAGGGTACTGCTCTCGGGATGCCGTGTGTAGCGGGTACTGCTAGACTACTGCGCTAGAAATGCCGTATGTAGCAAGTACTGTTAGGACTATACGCTAGGGATGCCGTGTGTAGCAAGTACTGCTAGACTACTGCGCTAGGGATGCCGTGTGTAGCGAGTACTACTAGACTGTCACAAACTAGGGGAGGTCGGCGCCACCTGGGGCGCTACATCGAGCAATAACCTTAGCATAAGCCTCTGTAGAAGATGTGGCCTGAAATAAACACTAGTTTTGTACACCCTATTGTTTTACTCTCATCGAGATCCACAAATGTAAAATTTATAAAATCAAACTAAAACATAGAAACTGTAAATGTACTGAAGTTGTCAGGAAACTCAAGAAAGTTTGATTCGTGTATTCTCATGTTAACTTGTTAAACATGGACGTACGGCACACCGCACTAAACATGTGTGTGTCGGGGATCTCAAGACGGAGGCCAGCGAAGAGTCTTGACTGTTTGGTAAGTTCTGGTAAATGATTTAAATATTCTATTTGCTGGTGATATATATTATGTACTGACTTGAGGAATAACATCAGACTTTATATATATTTATATATTCTAAGTATCTTAGAGATATATAACTTTTGAGATAGTTTACGGTCGTGATAGCAACAAAGACGCCAAAAAGCACATTATAAACGTGCTCGGTAAGTATAATCACGAAGATACTTGTGTTTGTCTGATCACAGTGTTATATAGTATGTTACTACGATACAATATGTGTTATACCAATTTGACTTTAATATAAAATGTATGGTAAATATCCTCGCTCGTAACACAACTTGAGGCATTTTTTCTCTTTGACATCGTAAAGTAGTGATTGTTGACAGCTTTCAAACTTCATGAATTAATTAAAAAAAACAGATTTCGTACACACCAAAAGAAATAAGCAAATAATTTTCACTGTTATATTTACAGGACCAATAGCCAACAGGTAGAATGAAGAAATATCCGTAATCGGTATCAAAAGGTCAAGCGTCACTCTGCTGAACTTTTGAATAATAGCTTATAAAAGAAACTGGCAAATGATCAACAACGTAATGTGCACTGGATTAATATCAAGTACCGGGTTGTGGAGAATCCGATACTAAAGATCAGGGTTCAATTGTTTGATATTCAGTCTACATATATCGAAGAGGTTAAAAATCTTTTACAGTGGCTCATCCTGCTGTTGTTGAAAGACTAATTTAAAAAATTTCTTTATGATCTTTTAATTGACAGTGCGATAAATATTATAACTAAAGCTGAATAAAAGCAGCGGAGAGGTGTTTTCTTCTCGACTTGTATAAAGCTGTTAAGTGTTAAGTTCGGTTTGTAAGCTTCCAGACTATCCTTTCTTCATCCGTCCCATTTCCCTCCCCCGGGGTAGCTGGCCGAGGATAGGTGGTAATCTTCCTCTTCTCCGTAAGCTACGCCTCTGCTTGAGTTATATCATCCTGCCCTTAATTCACATTCCATCCCCAGTTGTTGTCCCCTGGGTCACTCCCCAACCGATCTCATCATTCGCAATCAATAACTTTCCCTTCCTTGAGTATTTACATTCATACTCTCCTAAAAGGAATTTAATCATAGGACAGGAACGTATTATTTGCATGTTTACCGCCCGGCAACACAACCAGTACGACCAATTCAGGGACTCGTTTAAGAAATTTATGTCAGTCTCACAATTTGGCAATTCTTCCTCTACATCGTTCTTCCTTAATAACAAATCTGTTATTTTGTGTTTTATAAGATTTTCCATAAATAATTTTAGTTGAAGTTAAATAGTCTCTAGATAAAGAAAGGTGTTTGGGTCTTTAGTTCGACCACAACAACTCGGGTGGAAATTCAAATTAAGTGTTTTATGACTAGTTGAATCTTCCATCTACTCCGTTATAAGTCTCCTAATTAACTTTTTTTTATTTACAATTTCCCTCAACAATGTTCCGTTCTTGTCAATTTATGTAATACATTTGCGCTTATGATCCGATCACAGTGAATCGGACACCAATTCGGAAACTCATTTGAGGTTGATTGTGTCAGTGGACGGCGTTGTGGTGTTGGTGACTGTTAATTACAACACAGGATGTGGTAGCCAGGATGCCTGCTATCTGCCATTCTGCCGTCAGTCTCTCCGTGCGGCCAGTAGTGTCGCACCCCGCCTCCACACCTTGTGCCCATGACCTGGTGTCCATGGGTCTGTGTTCCAGCTCTCTGTCCATACTCTGACACCACTGTGACACACCACAACACAACTTTGCTCGTCTGCCTCCCCTCCTGGCTTTGTGTATATAAACCTTTAAAACTGAATTATGAACTAAGTGAAAACGACAAACTACCTACCAGTTAGCTACTTATAACCAGTGTGCACCACTCACTCACCACTCCGACCCACAGTCAATCCATGCAGTGACCAAGCTAGGATAACTCCAGTTCACCAGGACAACAATCGTCACGTCACGGCGTCACGGCCAGCCCTGCTGGTGACAAGTGAGTAACACAAGTCTTCGAGAGTTCCCTGACGCGTCCAGCTGGTCGCTGTGTTTTCAGTTCATCAGATATAATAATATGTTAACTAAAACTGTTAATAAATACGAAAACAAACATTAGAGGATGCCCGATGGAGATGTATAAAATTGATCAGTGAGGTATAGTAATGTACAGTACACATGTACTGTACAGTCAACACAGCAATATTAACGAAGCTGTACAGTACTAATATAGTGTATCTCACAAATTGAATCCGAACCTAAACATTAGCTAAGCTTTCCAAACATAATTTATTCAATCTAACAGGGTAATAATTTAATACAAATAATATTATCAGTAATAAAGTAAGCTTTGTTTTCTGTTTATGTCGCCCACTTGCAGTTCTACACTCAGTTTACTGTTGTGTTATGGTGTTAATCACAGGATGTCTGCAGTGTTCCTTTGTTATTATTCCTCACTACACTAAACTGCCACTTAATTGTGAGGATGAGTAATAATAATAGTTATTTATCTACTGATTAAATGTCAACAAATAAAAAAAACAAAGACATGCGTGTTGAGGGAGGGCATTCACACAAGATACTGTTATTATCATTATTCCACGTATGTGTTGGTTTAATACAATGAAGAAGACATTCACATGGGGGTAACTGAACATTGTTGACACCTGGTATTTGTCACTCCGCCCAGTTCGGTGTGTAGCTCAGGGACCAGATTTACTTACGGATTACAAACTTCTTAAGCGTTTACGACCAATGACATACCGATGACACCTACTTTAATTTATTACACATTCTAATACATGTCTACTGTCACGAGTGGCCGGAAATTTAGTGGAGCTTCCTGTCCTTACTCAGATACGCATGAAACCGGTCTTTGTGTGATAAGTAAAGTCAACTACTAAAGTCCGTTCGCCTGTCCTCCTAAACCACGAACCCCGTGATTCAGACTCGTGAACCCTGAAGCAGTAGACTGATACATTGTTCTATCCATAAATGCTTCGGATTCATGAGTCTGAATCTCGTGGTTCAGAAGGAGAAACGAACGGACGTGAGTTGTTGACTGCATTACATCAGCCGTCACCCCACACCATCAAACTTCCTCACAAATATAGGTTACCAAGATAAACACCAGGGAAAGCCTTGTTCTTCAGTGTTTACAAATGGATATAAGGTACAGTTGCAGCAGCTCGCTTATGTTTACCTATTGTTATGGGTGTATCTTTATGTGTACATTGAATATTACACAGCCAGTGGTTTGTTTGTTTCTTTGTTTTTGCATATCAATCTTTTCATTCAAACGGGAATAAACAGTGATATTTTTTTTTTCTAATTAGTGGATATTAAGGTTGGACTACACACTGAGAACATGTTTTGTTTTTAGGAATGATAAAGGGGGCTCGAACCTGCATTCCTGTCACACCTTCAGACAGGTTTTGACATTGTTCACCCACCTTCACTAAGTTGGTGATGACGTCAACCCCTCCCCCAATCTCCCTCCCTCACCCTCCCAATCTCCTCCTCACCCTCCCCATCTCTCTCCTCACCTCCCATCTCTCCCTCACCCCCTCACCCAATCTCCCTCCCCCACCCCTCCTCCTTCCCTCACCCCCCTCCTCCCACTCCCTCATGACCAGCTGGAGTGTGGCGCCTCAAGTCTACCTGTGCTTTCCCCAGCCTTACTGCTATCTCTTTCTCGTGTTCTTATTCCATTTCTAGTAGTAGTAGTAGTAGTAGTAGTCGTTGTTTAAATAGTAATAGCAGTATAGTAGTAATTTCGATTTATCTTTTATTATTGTTTTGATGTTTGCATATACATTATTGATTTAGGGTAGCCATGCAGCGAAGAATAATAGACTAAATAAAGGTTAGGTTAGGTTTTGTTTAGTTTAATTCTTGGGGAAGAATGTTGTCACCATGACCGTGCTAGTCTCAGGGTCACCAGGGTCAACAGCAGTGTGTAAACAAGCAGCTGCAGCCCTGACTCTCTCTCCTTTTTCGTGTTATTTATTAATTAACTAAGTGTTCAGAGTGGACCGCAGGAACAGTATGCTCCTCGTTACAGCGTGTGTGGTTGGTTGAGCAGCGGCCAGTGATAGAATCCTGTGCACACCTGGCCACTGTTGTGTCGTCTTCCACACCTGTCTGCTTTTGTTGTCAATTCTACAGCTGTTACCCGTACACTATTGCTGTTGTCTTTTGTTGTCTGCTGTTGTTACACAATTGCTGATTTCTGCTGTTCCAAAACTGCTGCTGTTGTCTGCTATTTTTTTTCTTTATTTGCTCCATCTTATAGTTGAATATTTTCCTGCCTGTCACCTCTTTTCCAATCGGTTATTTTGCTATAAATCCACATTAGCTGTGACGCAATGCAAACAGTAAACCATGCGTTGAAATATGAGTGTGTGTGTGTGTGTGTCATAGCTCCCGTGGATCATGATAAGACGAGAGATTCATGTGTCTACCATGCGCGGAAGGTGACGTCATGCTCACCCACCTTATCTCCTGTCCAATCAACGAGTGTGTAAGGGTGACCACATGCCCTGACCTAGCTTACTACCTGATGAAGAACAAGTCAGGCTAGAGTATGGTGGGGGTGCTGTGATGTGTAGTGTATGTAGTGAAATTATTGGCGAATGTGTAGTTTACAATATGTGGTGGTGGGGTTTGTGTGGTGTGAGGGGTGAACACCTCGCCCTGTGTGGTGGTGGTAGGGGCACACAGATCTTCCACAGGCAGAAGATCTTGCCAGTACAGTGTGGTAGTGGGAGTGTAGTGTAGTGCTGGTGGGTGTACAGTATAGTGGTGGACGGCCTCTCTGTCCTCCTTGCCCCTGACGTCATTGCCTTCCGTGTGGGTGTGTGTGGATGGCGTGGGCAGTGTTGGGGGTATAGATATGTGTTATAGTGTGCACGCCTAAAACTATACGAGCGGCCACGACCGGGTACATGAGAGGGCAAACCTTTATAGACGTGTTTATTGTCGTTTTTAATCATGTATGAGTGTGTGTTGGTGTGACTTTATACGCACTCTGTAGACTCGTAGTTCTGGCCAATCACCGCTCGCTCAGCAGTAATCGTAAACATCAAGGAGACGTCGATTTTGTTTCAAGACTCCATCATACCTAGATGCCTTCTCGTCTCCTGCAAGTTACGAGACAACTTGTAAGTTACCCAAACTTTGATAACCCAGCCATGTGACAAGGAATCCCACACTTCTGTTAAGGGTTGAAAAAATAATAATAATCTTATATATATAATGAAAATTTCTTCGAGTGTCTTCCTAGAAGTCGCCACATATAATGGGGTGACGCTGCCTCGTGTTTACCCGCTTCTCTGTGGAAATAATCACGAGGACCATATCGTTGCAGCTGCTGCTGTGGGTGCCGGGGTGGAGGCGCATAGCTGCGAGCTCACAGTCCCCTTCTTTACGTTTTCTTTCCTTTACTCAGACACGTAACTCGTGATAATCTACTCACCTATACTCTCATCTATTTTTTTTACCTTCTTTCAATACCTCTACTGTCAGCTCGGCTCAGTCCCCACAGCTAAATTCTGGCAATTTATCATTATAGCCGAGACTTGAGGAATTCGCGGGTAAACTTATAAACTTTTAACTTTTAAAGACGTCACGAAATTTTCTGGCATAATTCTTGCAAATGGACATTTGTTCCTTACTATAGTGTGAACACTTGTGAGTGGCTGCTGATTCATGGTCTTACCCAGGCTTCAGGAGTTCCTACGATGAATTTTCCTGAAATTTAACTGACAATGTGAGAATGTACCCACAATACTAGGCTGACTTTAGCTAGCACATCTAATATGTCAAAACATGACTTCAAGATTTCACTTGATATAAATGTTCGCATATTAGAAGTTGAGACAAAATTAACATAAAGAATCTTTCCTAAGATTCTGAATGTTGATTTTGTTTAGTAATTGGACATTTCTAGATTAGGGAGTCTAATAAAATTTTGATGTCATTTTTCAACTTTAGTTTCATGCTTTAGCTTACGACAACCAGTTAGGTGCATATTGCATCTTCAGCTACGAGGAATATTCATTGTACGAACCTTTGAGAATCTGGACCCAAGGTCCCTGTTCATCATGTGCTTGGAGGGTGAGTGACCGAGGGGGGATGACTGTCTGGAAGTTGGGGCTGTGTTCACCCCCCCCCCTCCCGTGGTACATTTTAAGAGCATTTAGGAAGTTGTGTGAGGTATGGAACTATAAAGCCACAAATGGACGCAAGTGCCAGCATAAACGAAGGCTCGCTCTTGTTTGAAATATGTATTTATTCATGGATGGGTTGGAGACGGGCTGGTTCCCTGTTCAAAATTTAATGCACTCGTCCATTTCACGGTTGAAATGTTGTCTAGCGAAGCCCCAGGTATATGGACCTTGGCGAAGCCCCTGTTGTGGGAACTATCACGAGATTCTTTCAGATACTGATTTTTACACCCAAGAAAAATATCGATACAAACCATGCACGGTGTTTGCCTTCACTGTTCACCCAGAGATAAACACTGCCACATGACTGGATCTTTGTTACGATTTATAAAAAAAAAATAATTAGTTGATCTATTAGCGAATTGTTTGAAGTAAAATGAACCAGTGAGTAATTATGTGTCGATAATATCTACTGTTGTCTCTCAGCTCCTTCCAATCAGTGCCCGTACTTACTCAAACAACTTCCGTATTCTCTTCTGTTTCCCCACTTTTCTAAGGGTTCTTGTACGCCATGATTCACCCAACACAAAACTGGAACACCCGTAAAGGTAATAGATATAGATAGACTCTATTTAGTGCTTAATATAGTGAAGAGGTTAATAGGGGGTTGAGGCGGCGGTGGTGTTGGTGGGTGATGCAGGTGTTGGGGCGCAGACGGGATAGATAGAAGGTCATTGTTACGCATGGTTGGCTGGCAGGCACAGGGCTGGGGAAGGTGACGTTAGGGTAGGTGTGGGTGTGTGTGTGTGCCCTCTGACTCGTGTAGTATGTT